GAGCTTTGTAACTTTGCAGATCTTTTTTATGCTCAACCAGCAACATTACAGACTAACTAAAGTTGAAAAAGTGAAAAAGCATAATAGGACCCCTTTAACAGAAATAACTTTTCAAAAACTACGAGTTTTGTTTCCAAAGTAATTCTACGAGAAAAAAAAAACAGCGAAAACAATGAGGAAACAACGTTATTGCATCCATCAAATGAGACCTCAGCTAGTCTCTGACGAAAATGTACCATGTTTTTACTACAATATAGTTTAATGATAGCATTTGTAATTAAACCATAGTAGCCACAAATTTACCTGTCTGAGACTTCATGAAATATACTTTAACATCATAAACCATAAAATGTAATATACTTTTACTGTAATAAAACCATGGTTCATTTTCATAGATAAACACGGGTCACAAGTTAACATGGGCACATTCTCGATTCAGCCAAATTAATAAAATTCTGACTTCAATCCAAAAATCTGTGGCTGAATCAGTGAAGTCAGATAGCTCTGTGCGTACGTTACTGTCGTCATTCAAAGCACCTCTTTTTAGCTCATGTTCAAAACCTGTGCCAAGCAGACTTCTAAATGTATTTTCCGTTCTTCAGCCGTTACGGGCGATCATACCAATAAATTGTAATCTTTACAAGAATACCAAAATGAGCAACGAGCAATGTCTGCATTTATTAGACAGCTTAATATCACTTCAGTTTGTGCTTTCAGAATCTGCGAATCTGCTGCGGTCATTCCATCATAACTGGAGCGGAGGACCTGAAACCGGAAGAAGGTCACCTGATAACACAGTCACCAGTTAACCGTAACACCGGGAGAAAAGAAATTGTTGAATAAAGTCACTATTTTTGTTCTCTGCACGCACAAAAATTATTCTCGTAGCTTCATCACATTGCGGTTGAACCACTGATGTCACATGGACTATTTTAACTATGTCCTTAATACGTTTCTGTACCTTGAACGTGGTAGGACCCTTGCTGTCGATGCAGGGTCAGAAAGCTCTCAGATTTATATCTCGGAAAATATCTTAATTTGTGTTCTGATGACTAACGAAGGTCTTGAAACGACATGAGGGTGAGTAATTAATGGGAGAATTTTCTTTTTTGGGTGAACTATCCTTTTAAGTCCATACCATACATTGTCAGCGTTACTTCTCTGAATGATGTTACGATATTTTTCTTTATGTTCTGATTGAGCTACATCTATTTCAGACGCACAAATTCTGTGACGTTTTACAGTTTCCATAGGAGTAAAATATTATGTATATATTATGTATATATAATTAATTTTATTTAACCAACATTTAAATAATTTAAGGGTTAGTTCACCCAAAAATGAAAATTAGGCTGCGTTTTACAAGTGAAATAAAGCGCATCCATCCATAATAAAAAGTGCCTCACATGGCTCCGGGGGATGAACAAAGGCTTCCTGTAGTGAATCGATGCGTTTTTGTAAGAAAAATATCAATATTCAAAACGTAATAATCACTTTAATGTAGCTTGCGCTCACTATTGTAAACGGAAGCAGTTCTGGGGGAGTGACGAATGAGGTCAGCGTTGCGCATGCGCCGCTCAGAAGTGTTTTTTTATTTAATAGGCAGGGGAAATTCCCAACATTAAACAAATAACCTTTTACATGCAGGATATTTGCGTTGTAAGAATGTACAGGAATACTTCAGATATAAAAACACTGACTCGTTAGTTGATGTTTTCTCATTAAAATCGTACGTTTTACTCTTAATTCAATAGAATGTATGGGGATACTAGGGAATAGCAGTACCGGCTCTCTATTAGAGATCAGTGGTGTAAACTTATAATAATGGATTACTACGGTCACGTGGACTTAACAGACACACACACGTCCTCAAGACACTTCAGATTTTCTCTAATATACCGCCATAATTTACCTCAAACATCTCGTTTTCATAATCCTCGGAAGTCAAACTCAATCGAAAATAAAATTAGATTAATCAGACCTAAAGTACAAGAGAGATCTCGCTTCTGGATTGCAAAATAACGAAAACGCATCAGTGACGAATGTCTTGATATTATCACATGTAGAAACGGTTGGCAAGATACAGTTAGCTTGATAATATTATGTAGCAATAATAAATTGTAAGTGTATTTCTTTAATTTCCCCAGCACCATAAGCAGAACAGTTAACATTAGCGCTTATCGATACTACAGTTTATCATAATTCAGCCCCAGGCCCGTTTAATACCGGGTTCAGGTATTCACTCCTACTTACAAGAGAAGCAAAGAAAGATCAGTTACAAAGCTACATGACAGTATTTCTTGCATCTGTGTTTCCTAAATACATCTTACGTGGAAGAATAACTAAACTAAAATTAAATCTCAGTCTCTCTTAAAGGTGTTAAAAGCCTCTTTTCCAGCTTCCTGA